GCAGTCCTGGTGTGGACACTCTCTGCAGCATTCCATGCTTTGACTGTTCCCACATCGTTTTCCCAGTACTGGGCACTCAGCAGAGCAGGATCAGACCCCCAGGCTGCATCTCCCACGAGGAGGCTGAGAACTTTGCTTTCCATAGTGCAAGACCTTCCTGGGGCAAGCTGTGGTCTTCAGCTCCACCAGGAACACTTCCCAACAGCCCAGTCACCTCTGTTTAAGTGCAGCCTCTGGTCCCAAGAAACATCCCTTGGGCAGAGGGGTCTGTCTCTGTATCTCTTACAGTGGAACTTGAAGCAGCTGAGCTCCTTTTCCAGCTGCTGGGGTGCTTGTGGTGCAGGATCAAACCACAGCTCCTAACACCTCAGTCCTCTCACTAACTCCCTCACACATTAGCACAGTGTGGTTCTGCCAAGCTGCCTCTGCTCTCACCTCTGATCACTTCAGAGTAGGACTGGGCTGGTGGACTGCACACACCACTTATTTTATTCTAGGTGGAAACTGCCAAGTTCCTCTAGGAGACACCACTACCTGGTACCTGTGCTATTTACCTAAGTTATACTAGAGTATTTGAGGCCAAAGGAAGAGAAAAACATGTTTTTGATACCCATCTGCTGCAGGAGTCTATGCAACCCCCCAAAAGAAAAGGCCACATCAGGCTGAAAAAAAGCTCTCACGGCTCCATGGATTTGTCCTGTATAATCACCTCTCTAATCACACACCAGCCCACTGCCTGCTCAGAGGTGAGCTCCCCTTTGCAGGCTGGTTCTCTTCTGGATCTATCTTCTCAGAGTCCAGGTGAATGAACATCGCTCATAAACAAGCCATCCTCACCCTCCTCCCTCCAGGACAGGTTGAAACATGGGCTGGGACTGCACAACAGCCAAACCCCAGGACCAATGTTTGGCTTTTACACAATGTGCAGAGAACGATGTCTCTGTCCTCAGGAAGCTTTGGAACTGGAGAACACCAGGAACACTGCTCGACAGCTGGCAGGCTGGCTATCACTCCCAGCTATCAGTGTGTTCACAGAGAGCAGGGGGGTGTTTAAGGGAAGCCTTAAACTGAGAGCTCAAGCTGTCAGAAAACTCAGCAAGGAGCTCCCCCGAAGGTCAGGCTTACACATTCACACAGTCTGATCACACACACAAAAATATAAACATGTAGGTCTGGAACCAAAACAGGTCTGAGAAACTTCCCAAGGTGGCCTTCACCTTTTCCAGGAAGCAAAACCTCATGTTCTCTCCCAAGATTGCTTTCATAATACACTTTAATGCAGCTGCACAGGTTGCTTGGCAATAGAGGTAAAAAATAATTAGCTGCAGGAAACTGTTGTTCTGAATGACTGCATTATCAGGGTCCAGGCAAACCTATTGCCTCTTCATTATGCCACTCACAGGATAAACAATGTAAGCTGCTTACAGCCCAAGCTCAGCCTCCACAGGCTTAGGAGGAGCGTAGAAAGAACCTTGCTCTGATCAAACAGATCTGTACACCACAAAAAGCACCTGGGAGGTGTAAACTAGCATGGTGTTGTGTGCTGTGTGGTTTCTCATCAGAAACCAGGAACCTCAGACATGCACTGACCTAGAGACACCATCCAAACTATTGTGAGGAGAGAACATCCTACCTGTGAGCAGCATCAGGATCTGCTTTGCGATGGGACCGCTTTGGTTTCAGGATCTGGTCCCGGTTGCTTCCCGAGAGACGGTCAGAGTTATAACCTGGTGGCAACACAGAGCTACTCAGGGATTTTGTTTCCAATCGAGGTGCATCTAGTCTTGTTCTGCAAATATTTAAAGAGAAGAGAATTTGCAAGGAGTTTCTACAGAACCACAGCAGATGTTTGCCCTAGATGTGAAGCAGAACCCTCAGTCCCAGCCACACGGCTCAGGAAGACAGTCAGGACTGTCTAGGATCATTCTATGATGACTGTTATCCTCAAAAGCAGAACAAGCTGCGGCTTTCTGGTACTTGAACCTTCAGCTTTAACCTCTGTGCCTTGGTCAGAGGGACAAGGAAGGCTTGGGAACACGTGTAGTGGTGAGGTGAGCGTGCACAGTGCTGGGCTCGCTGCAATCCCAGGGGTTGGATACAGAGCAAAGGTGTTGGAGCTCCTGTGAAATCCTGTGACATGACAGTGACTCGCCAATAACTCGCAGCTCCAGTTAAGCCACCTGAGAGATGCCCTGAGAAACTAATCATCACAGTCAACAATAATAACTGCTTCTATCTGGAAACTCCCAACTCTCTCAATATCTCACAGGGTCAGGCGTTTCTCAGCTTGACAGAGAGGTTAAAAGAGTTGAAGTACAAGCCAGGAGAAAGTCTAGCAAAGAGAAGCTGCACCACAACCCTGCCAGCAGTGCAGTACTGCCTTGTTTGTGGGACAGAAATGGGCTCAAGCTACATCAGAGAGCAAGCACACTCATCCTGGAGCAGAGCTGGTGCTGGCCCAGGCACAACTGTGGCCATGCACATGTGAAGGGAGACAGCAGGGATGAAAACTCAACAGCACAGCAACTTATCACGGCACTATCACCGTCTCCAAGCACAGAACAGTTACAGTCTCAACTTACAAGCACTGCTGAAGTCTGTTTCAAAACAGAGACTGAAGCTTAAGAATGGGAGAAACACTCTAAAAGGTGGTTCTGGTCCTCCAGAGCTGCCAATTTCAGGAGGATCCAAGCCACTTCCCAGAAGGAAAGGCACCCTGATGTTGTCACTGCAGCCTGTGACTTCCTCCTTGGGATTAGGGGTGAGTACAGAAGGGGTCTGGGTGAAAGCGTGGGAAGAATCACTACTGCTCTCTAGTGCCGAGCTTTAGCTCCTGGGGGAGGTTTCCACTGGAGAATCCCAACCTAAACTCCTTGTTAGGAAGCACGTCCAGCTGCCAAGTTTCCTCTCTGCCATCAGGGAGAGCCTCCTCAGTTAACCAGGGTGATATCAGGCTGGCACACGATGCTGGGCACAGCAGCCCAAGTCTGCCCAGCATGCCAGAAGCAAGGAATACTTCCACAGGCAGCTGTCAGGCTGGAGCCTATGCTAGTCCACAACGCCACCATCCTGAGCTGTTCTCAGCTCCAGAGCTGGACCAGGTCCAGCTACAACACCAAAGGCATTGCAGTTCCTGTCCCAGACAAGTGAGGTGGTTTGAATTCCTCTCAAATACAACAGCAACTACAGGCTTGCAATGAAAACAAACCAACCACCAAAAATCCTGCTAGGCCAAAGGAACAGCAGCCACACTGACTCTGTGCACAGAGCAATACAGACATGAGCTGTAGGAGCAGGTACCAGGAGAGGCTACACTAAAATGGAGAGCAAATTACCTACAAATTTGAGTTAAACAGAGTTAACTCCCTAATGGAACAGCTCACCAAAGGCAGCATAAGCCTTCTAAAACAACTTTAAAGACCCACTTCCTCAAGTCTCATTTCTATCCCCTACCTCTTTCAGCATCCCACAAAATTAAGTGCATTGTTCCTCCCCCCCATCCCCTTGCTCAAAACACTTCCAAACCTTGCAGGTTCCCACAGTCCTGTGCTCTCAAACCAGGACAAATAGGCAGGAAACACTGGCAGTACCACCACATTACAGCACTCAAGTGTTTATGACCTACTTGGTAACCACGCTGCTCTCAAGCATCCTGCACAACCCAGCACCTTTCTCCTCCTGCTGCTGCCAGCAAAAATCCTCTCTAGAGCCACACACTTAGAGCAGAGGCCAGAGAAGACCCAGACTCCATCGTCTGGGGTCCAGCAGGCTCTGGCAGCCTCCCCAGAGCCAAATATCCCAGCTCCTCACTGCAGTATGACCCAAGTGATCTGATCCCACTGGAAAACTTGGGGCTGATTTACTACCATGAAGATGAGGAAGAGAAGCTTTACGAGGCCTCCGGCTGCTCCCAAGCCTCCCATGCCAGCAGGCTGCCCACAGAAGTGGCCTTTTTCCTGGTTGCAGAACGTGCTATTTCAGACTGCAAAAAACCCACGGCATGACTGGGGAGCAGGGAGCAGCTCTGGCTGCAGCAGCACACACTGTGGGGACATGGGCACAGACAAAGGTCACCTGGCCACGCACACACCCCTGCTCACGGGGCCGGCCAGGAGACGGCCGCGGTCGCCGGGGAGAAGCAGCAATTAATAAGCTCTATTTGGCAGCAACCAGAGCACACCCTGTGGCAACCAGGCAATTGCCATGTATTCACCAAGGTTGCTAAGCTCTCCGGAGATTACACAAAAAATAATTACCGGGGGGTTTCCACTTTGCTCAAGAGAAAAATCCTGTTGTGGTTTCCTTCAGCCTGCCTGTCAATTCAGCCCGTCGCCGCCTGCGTGTGACTGGGCAGGGACAGTTCTGCTCTAATGCTACGGAAATCAGGGGAAGACAGAAGGATGGCCAAGCAAACACAGCCAGTACAGCTCTGCTAGGAGCTAATAGGCTCTGTCTCTTCACTGGTCTCTTCACTCAGCCATAGGTGCTTGCCCAGTTCCATGTTGAGGGGAGTCAGGCTGCAATAACTTGACACACTCAGCTTGCAGAGCCAGTTTAAATATGTATGTTACACATCTGCACCACACTGGGCAGCTTCATCTTCTTTAGCTGAGCCTGTGTTTTCCAGGGAAATGCTCCACAGCCTAGGACAGGCAGTTTCTCCATCCCAAAGCCCATCTAAAGCAGCTAGAGGATTTGGAGGAGTCTTCTACTAGTGCTCATTAGCACTCACATGGCTTTTCATGGTAACCAATAACATGAACCTTTTAATTCTTATTGCCACTCTCTTGCCTTATACCTCATGTGGCCATAACCAACTACTGGGTGGTTTGATTCCAATCTTTCTTTCTTTGATCCCTCCCTATCACCTGCCACATCTCATCCTGCCTACTTGGGTCTGTGTTGATTTTCTTTGGCTATCACCTCAGAGCTGCTGTTTTTCCTGCCTTCATTTCATGGGTCTCTCTAACCAGATGTCCCACTCTATTCTGCTGGCTTTGTGCCATATCCTCACAATGTTGCCAGACTTCTTTTGAAACCATCCAAGTGTCCAAAGGCTCAGCAAGTCTGAATCTAGACCTCTTGCCCACCAGCCTGGGCCACAGCTGCAGCCCTGCCACCAGCACCCACGCTTTAATCTGGGTTTACAGTACTCATATTGGGTGTTTTCACTTGCAAAAAGACTTCCTGACATCAGAATTACTGCCAACACCTTCTAAGGCACAATCAACATGGGTCAACATGTGGCAGTCATATTTTTTGGTCTCCTAGTAGAAAGAACTGATGAGAAAAGACACTTCTGGACATAAAAAATACCCCTTATGCTGAGGAGTTTGAATTGGGGTTGGCTTCTGTTTTTATTTATTTTTTCCCATTTTCTTTTCTGAAGAGCTCAGGAATGATTAAATGCCACCAGCTGCCCAGGACAGCCTATCTTCTAAACAGGAAGTGTGTGATCCAGCTCACAGAGCTTGACTTTCCCCACACTGCCCGGAAGGACAAGCTCTGTAACACGATCACTGAATCCACTGTGCCCGTTTCCCATCAAAGCCAGCCTCTTCCTCCCTCTCCCCAGGAAATTAAAGCCATGCTACCAACACAATTTTATCTGCTTTATAGGAGATTTTTCACCATAAATATCAGCCTCAAAGGACTGTCCAGGCACCTCATGAAGGTACTGGATGCTCAGACACTGGAATACCCAGCCCAGGACACCAGTGTGAAATCCTCCCGGTTTGGAGTCAGGTAGCCAAGGAAACCAAGTGCTTGGACACCAGCAGCACTTGCCAACCCAGACATGACAAAGAAGTGCTGCTGTAGGAGAGCCAAGAAGTGATTAACTCTGCAGTAACAAGTTCCATCTACTTCCACCAGCCAAGTGATGGGTACAGCAAGACACAAGTGAGCAGCAGAGTGACATCTAATCAAGATGTAAGATCAAGCCAGCAAATTAACAAGCAAGGCAGTTTTAAAGTGTTCCTTTAAAAGGACCTTACGAAACATCACAGCACACATCTGAGTTTATCTTACTGTCCAGAGGGCTTCAACACTTACTTTCGAAGGATGATGACAGCTCTTCTCTCCTTGATGTCCTGTGGTCGAATGCAGTGTGTAATTTCATCAGCTGCATATCCACTGACAACAGAAACAAAAAGTCACTGTGAGAAAGATGACAGGCAGCAGCAGAAAGTGGTTGCCAGCCTCAACAACTCAGCTTGGCCAGTCATTTCCTAACTTCCACCAGGAAATTCTCCTCCAAACACGACTGCCCTGGCACATGGGAGCTAGGCTTCAAGGAAGGAAGAAACTTCAGGAAATAACGAGAGTCAAGGCTTTTTTTTTTTCTTTTGGACTCAATTTTTTAGCACACACCAGAGGAAACTGCCACCTGCCACAGCACAGTGAAATGAGACATGTAGAAAACAGGTTTATGGAGTGTAAACTCAGCCAATTAATTTTCCAAGAGATTAGAGAACAACATGGAAAAAAATAAAAATCAGAACATTGCTCCAAAGCAACCTCTCACACATGTCCCTAAGGAAAAGCCATCTCCTGGTTGAGAGGCTTTCACCTGGGCACAGATGCTGCCATCTCACCACCCTCACCCTCCTCACAACCCTCCTCCATGTGGCACACCCTCAGCCATGAAAGTCACCCCAGCACAAGGCACAGGGGGTAATCCTCAAATTCAGACCAAGCTGCATTCCTAGATCCTCCTTGCCATGGGGAGGACACAAGCCACCTGGGCCAAGGAACGTGAGACCAGGCTCCAGCAGCTACCTGGCCACGCAGCACTCCCTGCAGGAGTGTTTTGCTTTAGGAGATGGCTTCACCCACCCCAGGCTTCTAGCAGGCAGGAGGAAAAGCCACAGCCAACAAGGGCCTGGCTACCTGCAGCACAACTCCCAGGGTCCCATGAAACACATGAGATTGCAGCAGGTCCATGGAGAGAGGCCATCATGCCTGCTTGGACACAGTCACCCTGCCAGAAGCATATCTCATCACTTCCATGCGCACTAACGAGCAGGTCTGAGAGGTGGACCTGCCCTCTGTCTGCTGGTTGGAGAGTGTCTATTCATAATTCTAGTCAAAAAAGGGGAAAAGATAAGTTAAACACCTTCAGAGGCTCCTGAAATGGCTGACAAGGACAGAAGGCCTCAACACACTTGGGTGAAGGCTGCTGGTGCCACACAAAGCTAGCACACACCCCCACTGGTTTAACCTGAGGCAGAAATCACTGAGCCCAGTCTCTCTATGAGGCTTCAACATGTTGGGCAGCCCTCCAGGAGCACAGCCTGGGCCACCAGCTTGCAGGTTATCCAGGACACTCAGAGCAGAGAACAGATCACGCACACACAGGCCCTTTCCGGGGATGGGACCAGGTTTCCTTTATCTGCTTAGATAATCCACCCACTCACCCAGAAACACACACCTCTCCAAAAGAGATGTAGTGCTTTGACAAGAGAGTTAAGAGTCTAAGACCTGATCAGTTAAAAGAGGGGTGATGTCCATCCCCCCCACACCTCTGGGGCACTGCAGAACAAGCCAGCCTTATGTGAAAGGGCTTGTAATGATGCTCTATTATGTTCCAGGAATCTCTGCGTCAAGCTCCAGTGAATTCGTTAATATCACCCACGTTAACATTCAACTCAGCACATCCTCAGTGACACTCTGAACATCAGGAAGAGGTCTGGCTCTTCCAGACCTTCCATGACATTCCAGACATCACGAGATGTCAGCCTGATCCCAGGCAGGAACCCAGTTTCCAGCGTGCTTTCGGAGCGGCGCCAGGCAGAGCTTGTGGTCCCAGATGCACGTGGGCAGCACCAAAGCCACAGAACCCCGTGTGGGTCATGGGGACCCAACCAGTCTGCCCCAGTGCCATGCTGGTGTGGGAAAATACAGCTTGAACTGTATCAAATACAAAAAAAATGGAATTACAGGATTATTTGGTTGTGTCCCACTGGTTCTGCTTCCTGCCAGCAAGAACTTCTCCCCCACTGCCCAGCCCTGCACTTCCTGATGATGGATGAAGGGAGAGATGCTGGAATGAAATACCTGTCAAGTCTTCTGCTGAGCCACAACCTAATTGATTCACATGCAGATGAAAAGAGGTTGGTTTTGGTTTGTTTGTTTTGTTGTGGTTGGTTTTTTTTACAAAACCACCAGAAAGGGGGACCTCAAGTCCTGCAGAGTCTCTAATGAGAAATATTTCCAGGGCCTGACAACAGCCAGGCCAGCTCAGGGGCATAGGGACCTCACCCATCAGCTCATGGCAGGGGCTGAGCAGCTTGAGGATTTACTGGTGGCTCCGGAAAGCTGCTGCTGCTGCAAACCACAGATGTGACAGTGACCAGTTCGAGCAGAGCTTGAACCAACCTATTTGCCTCATCACCACTGACACAGGCAGAACCTCCTCTGCACCAAGAGCAGGTTCCGAGGGATCAGACTTCTGGAAAAGCAGGCAGTTACAGAGATTCCTCTGTAGGAAGAAAAGAGGTTCATCCTCCTGAGACTCCAACTACCTTTGATTATGCCACCATCAGCTGGAGACAACAGGAGAGACAAACCCCCTGATGTCTCCACTGCTGTTACAAGCTGGGAAATGAGCTTGAGCACCCACCAGCTGCAGAAGAGAAGCCCATAGGAGCTCTCAAAACTTGGGAAATGTCACCTTTGGCCACTCATTCCCCTGGCTGACTGCAACTGCACTGCTCCCAACCACGGTGCTGAGATGCAAATCCCAGCAGATAAACAAAGGCTGGATGCTGAGATTTGCTGCCTCCAACCATGGGGCACTGTGTGGCTGGAGCCACCTCCCCCCCCCCAGGCTGCCTCTGCACCCCCAGCTCCTTTCCCTTTTTTCCAGGCTAAGCATTTGTCAAAGCACGTGTTCCCCAGATGAATAGGCAAGTTCCTCCATCTTCTCCCCACTGCTTCTATCAACTGATGCTTATCAAATTATTGTCCTGTTGGCTGAGGGGCACAGCCCAGCCAGGAGAATCTCCAGCCCACCCTTTAAACACTAACCTGTCATTTGAAGTCTGGATCCTTCCCAGGGAGTATGAGGCAGGTTCAGCGTTTGCAAACACCACAGCCTCCTTCACCATAGGCAAATAAAGTCAAGGGTAGGATATGAGGAAAACCCCTCTGCAACTCCCTGCCAGGAGGAAAACTTGGAATAAGCAGCCAAGAGCAGGAACAGGACAAGAGTGATCTGGGGAGGGTCCAAGAGCAACGTGGGGGCAGAGACAGATCTAACAGCTTTCTTCAGATCCTCAGATTCCCCATGGTAATCAAACACAGCAGCTACCCCGACTTCCCCAGAAAGGCAACATGCCTGCAGCAGCCACTGACCCAGCAATATCTGAACGCAGACATTACAAGCATGCCATTTCTATCTGCACCCTCTCCCTATCTCCAGGGCAACTGCCTTCAGCAACTGTTTACTGGGAGGAGAAAAAGCCAAGTTTGGGGAGTTGACTTAAACATGACTAAGGGCTGGATTTCAGAAATGCACCCCTGAGTGCCTACCTAAGTCTGCACCTCTTCCTGCTCCTCCCAAGCTGCTGGGAAGCAGGAGTGAGGAACTTGCATCCAGCCAGGATCATATCACCACAGTGATCACTTTGGCAGAACCTCTCTTAAGTGAGTGCTAAGTATCTGCCAACTGTTGTACCAAAACTGAAATAATGCTCCTTTATAAAGTCTATTATTTGCTAGAAAGCAGAAGATCTAGCCAGTGGGGGGAGGAGGGTGTCAAAACCCAACCCTTCTAGTCAGAGTTAAAGACTTCTTTGTTTCATTTGTATGATTGTTAATAACCTGCTTACAGCATCCAGGTGACGCTGGCTACCAACCTGAAAGCACAGCCCAAGGAGATACCCTCCTCCCCATTCCAGAAGCTCTGAGCCAGCTTCCTCTTCCCAGCAGTTTTGGGGGAAGAGTGAGAGTCTGGGACAAGAAAACATCATCGCTCCCTTCTCCTGCAACCTTCCAACCTGCCTTCAGATGTAGGGCACCAAGAGTTTTTCAAGTGGCCTCAACTGCAAGACAGACCCTGCACCAGCTGGTCCACCAGCACATTTCAAAGCCAGGAAATACCCTCACTGGCCTTAAAAAACAGCCCTCTGGCTACACAGGGAAGGATAACTATTTACTCCAGCCCCCTGTCCAGGGAAAAGCAGCACAGGAGTTCACATTGACAGGGTAGAAAGTTTCCCTCCTCCTAAGAGGAGGGGGAGTGGAGTGGCTGCCTGGCTCTGCAGCAGGACACGTCAGGATGGGTCTCCCCGGAACCATCTCAGGAAATCACTGACCTCTGCCCCAGCCAAACCACCAAAGAACAAGAAAATGCCCTCAGCACCATTCCCGGGTCTCTCTGCAGCCTCCCTCATCCGTTGCTAATCCACAGAAGTTACCTAACACCGGGGTACGGCGTGGATTAGTTAATGTTTGTGCAGCTTTTCCGAGATAAAAGCTACGCGAGATCTCAGCATTTATTATTGATGCACCAGCCAACGGTGCGAGGCTGTGGATGCGGGAGGGGGGGAAATTCCTGCCTGAACCCCGCGGGGATCACTTTACAAGCCAAAGCAGAGTGTTGTGTTACGGCCTGGGAGCCCTCAGAACTGGCCTGGACCTTCAACAGTCCAAAAAAATAATACATTAAAAAAATTGTAAAAGCCCAAACAAGGGTATAGTTGGTAGCTCGGAGCACTGCTGGCAGAGCGCGGGTGATCCTGGCTCCTGGCAGGGAGTGCTCTGACCTTCAGGGACACGAGGGACTGGTGCTCAGTGATTCAGGCAGTGTGGTGCTGGGCTCTGAGCTGCTCTCCCCAAAATCTGGGCGCCCGGCGGGTCCACCTGCACCCTGCCTGTCCCCTCACCTGCCCGCCGGCACGCAGCAGGCATTAGGAAGCAGGCATTTCCCAGTGCCAATCCCAGCTTTAGCCCCGACTGGCTGTGTGACCTTGGGCAGGTCATTTCACCTCCACGGCTCTTCCCCGGCTCACACAAACACACGTCAAGTTCCCTCTTGTGCCAGTCACCCGTCCAAGTGACAGTCCCATGGGGCTCTGCACTCCCATCTTCCCATCAGAGTCAGGCAGAGGAGGGTTTAGTATTCCCAGTTTCCCAGTTCTCAGACTGGGAAGACCGTTCACACCTCTTCTCCACACTTAAGGTCAGGTCGGGGAGGCACCAGCAGAGCTAAGAATAGTCCCAGGAGCCCCGTCCCAACCAGCTGCTCCACTCTGACCTCCTGGGTAGAGGATCCATTTTGCATCTCGATGCATTATTTTAACCATTTACGGGAATTACGGCAACTCTTGGCTCCTCAAGCGGCTCTATTCCCACCAGGACTCACCTCGAGCCCTGCAGAGAGGACACCCCCCCAGATCCCCATCCCCCACAGCAGCAGGACCCCCGCCCAAGTCCTCCTTTCACCCCTTCCACCACAGCAGGACCCCGCAGGCCTGGCAGCCCGACCCGCCGTCAGGGTGTGCAACCACAGGCCTCGTGATTAACGTTACACAACCGGAGCCGGGCCCGTTACCGGAGGCCTCGGCCCACGCCGGGTGGTTACCTGAGCACCGTGACGCTTCCCCTCTTGACGGGCAGGAAGAGAACGGGCTCCGAGACCCTGATGGGCTTGAACTGGAATTTACAGCCGAAGCAAAGCGCCGAGTCGCTGAAGAACGAGACGGAGACGATGGGCCTCTCGAAGATATGGATGGGGTCCACGTGGGAGACAATGCAGCCCCCCGGCTGGTAGTCATTGATGACGGCACTGTTCACAAATCCCTCGGGAATCACCCGGTGCTCCACCAGCTTCCTGATCACCAGGTCGTGAACCCACTCCGGGATGGCGTCCACTTCCCCCCGCGGGTACAGGCGCTCCTGCCCGGGGCCTCGTCTCTGCAGCTGAGACCCGTAGGTATAACCCTCCCCGAAAAAATACTTGTTCCGCAGCGGGGCCCGATCCACCGTGTGCTCCTTGTAGAGCCCTTTCTCGGCCCGGGACACCACGTCCTCGATGCGAGCCTCGATCTTGGCGCACTCCTCGGCGCTGAAGAGGCGCAGCTGCCGGATCCCGCTCTTGACTTTCCGAGCTTCTTCCTCCTCCTTCTGCTCCTCGTAGTCGCTGGGTTCGGAACCGGAGTCGTCTTGATGTCGGCGCTTGCGGTCGTAAGGGGGTTCGGGGGGTTCCCGGGGGAGGCCCCCGCCGCCTTTGTGGCCGGCGCCGTAGGGGATGCT